CTACCACTGAGCAAGGCATCAGCTTGGTACCATAGTGCTCAGACTTTCTAGACTTTACAAATACATCTCAGCATTGTTACCCTATCTTACAGCTGGGGAAACTGAGGCAGAGGGGCCCAACAATGGCTGTTTCCCCCTTTCCTTCCCCCACTCAAGTCTCCTCACCTGAGCGAAGGCCTCGAAGAGGGGTAGGTTGAGCCACTTGAGGTAAGCGAAGGACTTAATGCAGCGCATCACGTCGCCAGGAGCCATCTCGGGCACGCGGGCGTGCAGATCTGATGCCATCTTCTGGAAGACCTGGGTCTGGTGGAAATTCAGCTTTCCTTAAAGAGGCAGAAGAAATCAGCAGCTGCTGAGGAGGAGTCAGCCAGGAGCTCCGAAGCACTAGTGGGAGCAGTGCAACGGGGGGAGCGGGACGTCTGGGGGGTAAGGCACAGGGGGAAACCGAGCAAAAGCATCAAGCCGTATTCCTGGAGAGGAAGAGGCTCTGTGTGAATGCTGTTCCCTTCCCATCTCTAAATCAGATCTTAGCTGCAACTACAATCACCAAGCAGTGCTGAGAAGGGATGCAGACTAATGATGCTGGCCTGTGCTGGGTGTCTGGAGGAGATTTTTATCCCCCGTCTCTAGACAGACACGGCATGAACAACAGGCGCTTTTGTGGCAGCTATTTGGGCCAGTACCCATCACTGAGGAAGAGAGCACTGCATTTGAAAAGGCTGCAGAGTGCTTCACATCTGATGCTAGTCTGACTGTAGGCTCATTAGCTAATACCAAGGGGCAGCATAAATCCCATAGAAGTACTCATGATATCCACATGAATGCTGAGCCAGCCCACCAGGTGAAACTTCCAAGGGGAGAGTCAGACAGACAGCCCCAGATAGGCGCATGGGGCCCTTGTGTTTGAAACGATCAAGCAGCACTGTTACACTGATGCTGATGTAATCAAATCGCAGTACTAGTGGGAAGAGGTGTGGTGACAAGGGCCAGGAGGCAGGAACTTTGCAGTTGCTAGCTCAGCTTTCTCTGATTCCCTCTCTGGCATATCATTTAACCTTTTGGGGCCTCAGTTGCACCAAGTGCGTAATAGAGATAATATTCTATTTCCCCAAGGCTGTTCTCAATGTACTTCAAGTGTCTGCAAGATGAAAATAATTTGAGATCAAAGTGCTAGCATGTTCATTTATTTGCCTTCCTAATCATATAAACAAACCCACGTGCACCATTTCAGAATGCAGAGCTCCAGATATTCCCATGCCAGTGGGTGCGTGTCCCTACAGCTCTGCACCGAGGGATGGTACTCATTTTAAATTCTTCATTAAATCCAAACAACGTTCTTAACACACAAAGGAGCTTGTCTTGGCTCAGGAATAAATTCGCTGCAAGCTTGAAGTTAATACTAAGCTGTATCCGAAAACAAAATCAGGACTTTGGGTGATGGATGCTACAGAAAACAGGGAGCTAAAGAACCACCATCATAGGTGAGGAGTGTTGTGGGCAAAAATCCCCAGAAACAGACAATACCAAGGGAAGTGAAACAGTGTCAGATAGGCCAGGAGAGCTCTCCAGAAGACAGGGAGGGGCGAAGAAAAACCTGTGAAAGTCCATCAGAGTAATATTGAATCACTGAATCCTGCCGAGTTAAAAAGTTTGGAAAAGAACTTAAGTTCAGTTATGGTCAGGGTGGCAAACTGGTACCTAATTACTGAACAGATCTGCTCCAGGAGTTTGAGTCGTACCTAAGCGACATCTGTTATCTCTGCAGAACCACCGCAGCTCTGGGAGGGCGAGCAGGACTCTCTTCTGGCTCACGCCAACAGAACCGTTATCTAACTACATTCTAATGGCAGAATTTCCATGAAAATGCACGAACCAACAAGAGTCCAGTAAGACTCTAAGACTGTAGGAGTTCTGGGGCTGGCAGTCAATAAAGGTATTGTATTTGTTCAATTCCTCATTGATGTTAAGGCCAGAAGGGACTAATCAATCACCCAGTCTGACCTCCAGTATAACACAGGCCAGAGAATTTCAACCCAATCCCCCTGTACTGAGCCCAGTAACTTGTGTTGGACTAAAGCATCTTCCAGAAATGCATCCAGTGTAGATCTGAAGACATCAAGAGATGGAGACTCCACCACCTCCCTTGGTAGTTTGTTCCAATGGTTCATCACCCGAATTACAGGCGAGATGATCTAGTTCAGACTCACTGAGAGAAGCAGGGAATGCTCTGAATGCCATTTCTACTGTCGCTTTTTAGAGTATAACCACCCCATCTAGGACTAGTCAGTTGGTCTAGTTCAGCCAGTTGGTCACGTGCAAGACAGACAATGAAGTGGACTGCTCAGCTGGAATCAGCCTGTTTATAGAGGGGTTCGTGTCACAGTTTTACCTGGTAGGAGGATACACTGCCCATTTGTCTGGACTGTTACCAACAAGAAAGCAGCATTTGTGATGTCCTGCAGAGGATGAGAGGCAAAATGTCTGCAGAAACCATTAGCCAGCAAGGAGAGGCCAGAGAACTAAGACACCCATTATTATGCCAATGGGTGTGTTACTTTCTGCTCAAATTAATGTTGTTTATACGTAAGCAAACTATGACTAGGTCCATTCTTGTGATGGATCAGAAAACTCTGATCTACTCTGTAGCTTGCAAACAGAGATATCCAAGTTAAGACTGAAATACATTGGCCCACCACATCCAAGAGCACAGGCAGAGACCTACTGTACTATGTAGTATATTAGCCACTGGATAAAATAGTATCACTTTACAAATATTCCTGAACTAATACTCCAATGGGGAGAGATCAAATAATTTTGTGACATCACCCCTTTACGCCCAATTCCATCTGGACAATCCAGTTCGTTGCCAATCCCACAACCACAGCACTTCTGACCTGTTGAAACAGGCAGATAGTAAGACTTACACCTTTTGCGGGTGGGGAAACTGAGGCACATAGGTTAAATGACTTGCCTTTGGTGACAGAGGGAATCCGCTGCAGAGCTGGGATTCAAATATGGGAATTTCTGGCTCCCTACTGTGTGCTCAGAGAAGTTCTCTTTCAAACTGTGCGGGTTTAAGTAGTTTTCTATGAAAGCCTTTGTTGCTAGAAGTCTGTGGTAGGTGTGGATGGTGACGCTTAATGCACTATTGGAAGGTGCTCTGATACAAGGGTGATGAGCATGATAAGAAACTAAATAGAACAGAATGCAAAAGCTGAGTGCGCTGGTAAAGGCTACGTTGTAACTGACAAAATCAATTCCATTGCAGGTGTGTATTAGAGGTACCAAATAACTCAACAGTTACCTCCCCAGAGCTGGGTCAAGAGAGATTTCAACCCACTGGGTCAAGTTATTTGTATTTGAATGTATGAGCTTAGAACTCTCAGCCAGGACGGCATCATCATGGTAGTGATGTCCTAAAGTCCTAGTTCAACGCAATGACTGTGCTGCACTGGACTCTGCTGGTGTGATACTTGACTGAGTAGTTCAGGGGATGGCTGGACTCACTTACCATATGCAAAGGCCAAGTCCACCAGAATGCTAGTGCTGAGGGTAAAGTGCTTCTGAACCAGATGGTAGGAAATGGCCCGGAGCAGGGGGACAGAGCGCCGCTTCTGGAGCGCTAAAGCTAATGCCACTTTCCGAATGTCCTCAGCAGTGAATTGCTCGGCTAATTCCAAAGCCTGCCAACAGACATTAAGCATAGAGAGTAAAAGTGGGATAAAACTATTTACACGATTAATCACTTACATATCTGGCACATTTCAAAGTATCGTACAAAACACCCTCTCAAAGATCATCCAGCACTGAAATGCAGCCATCTCTGGAGCAGAACATAGCAGATCACAGTAATAAACAGTATGAGATATGATGTGAAAACCATTGTATCCAGAGGGGAGAATTAAAGGAGGCAGAATGTAATTACTTCTGACTGAATGTGGTCAGGGTATCAGTGCTACACTGATTACTATTGCAAAAAATACTATGGGACCTATTACAACCACAAGTGGCTAGTATGGACTCAATACAGGAGCAACTGGGTGAAATTTATGAACACAAGAACGGCCATACTGGGAATGGTCCATTTAGCCTTGTATCCTCTCTTCCGACAGTGGCCAATGCCAGATGCTTCAGAGGGAATGAACAGAACAAGGCAATTATCCGTCCTGTTGCCCAGTCCCAGCATCAGTCCGAGGCTTAGGGACACCCAGGGCATGGGGTTGCATCCCTGACCATCTTGGCTAATCCCTGGGGGAGCCTGACTATTTATTCCTACCCTTTGCTTTCTGTCTGTTAACCAGTTACTGAGAAGACCTTCCCTCTTATCCCAGGACTACTTAGTTTGCTTAAGAGCCTTTTGGGAGAGACCTTGTCAAAGGCACTCTGAAAGTCTAAGTACACTATATCCACTGGATCACCCTTGTCCCTGTTTGTTGATCCCCCTCAAACAATTCTAATAGATTGGTGATGCATGATTTTACAAAAGCCATTTTGACTCCTCCCCAACAAATCGAGTTCATCTATCTCTATCAACAAATCATGTCTGATAATTCTGTTCTTTAATTCAGTTTCAACCAATTTGCCTGGTACTAAGGTTAGGTTTACGGGCCTGTCGTTACTTGGATTGCCTCTGGAGCCTTAAAAAAAAAAAAAAAAGACCTTTCCTATGCAGGAGAGGAGACTAGATGATCGAACGGTTCCTTCCGGCTTTAAACGCTGAGCATATATGTTTACATTTCATCCAAAAGACAACAGCACTCTAACTTTAAGGGTTTATGCTGGGCTCAGTCCCATGGGATCTGAGCATCTAAACCAATGCACCAGCAAAGTGAGTACTGACACAGGGGAAAGAGTGTCCCCTAGTGAATCACTAACACCATTTCCTGGTGTTTCCCTTGGAATCTCACCAATTACTAACCTTACCCCACTGTGTTTAATTTGCTATCTGGCAAGATCCCAACCCAACCAGTCTAAACTGTGGTATTTTTATTAGCATGTACCAATGTCTGTAGCAAATATTTATCCCCAGGGTCCAGAAAGAGAGAGACATGGGGCCCATGAACTACAGATGTTTCTGTGGCAGCTCTTTGGGCCAGTACCCACCATGGAGAAGGCGGAGTACTGAATTTGACATAGCTGCAGTCAAACAACCACCTAGAGATCTCATTGGTGGTTTCAACCTGGGGAGCGTTTCCCCAGCCCACATCACGTGCCTGAAGGACATCTAGTAAGCACCGGAACAATGAGCTAATCCACGGGCGCAGGCCTGCAAAGCTGTGATTCACGAGCCATCTGATTCAGAACCAGGCTGAACTGGAAGGAGAGAGGAATGGAAAGGGAACTAAGGTAACATTCCTTTTCTCCCCATCTGTGATAATTTAAAGCGGGGGGGAGTCTCAGGGCAGCCTGCCCCCACAATGAGCAGATTCTGCAACTCTGTGCTCAGATCTCAGTGGAGCCTGGCCCTGGGGGTGAGGCAGGCTCTCTACAGAGTCTCACTATGGAGCCATTTCAGTAAAATGTAAAGTAAACCACAACAGTTCTCTCCTTAACCTCAGACCAGATCTGTGGGTCATTTGGCTTGTCATATTCAGGATCATTGCTTAAAAAAAAAAATGATGGGGATGGTGGTGGGAAAACATTCCACATCAAAAAAACCTAGGAGGCCCCTGAAGGAATATGCTGCCACGGATGCCTGACGTGCTGTATAAATGCCTACGAGCGTTTATTTGTGAGTAGATTTTTTAAATCACTTGACACCCCTAATTTTGCTAAACTTTTTCCTTATGTATCCAGCACATTTAAGGTAGTTTATTTAAATAAAACATGTAAAGTTCTGTTTTTGTGCATTTGCAATTAAATTTGACTTTCCATCCGATACAGCTTGACACAAACTGCAAGTAAAAAAATTAATCATCTAGGAAGTGAGAAATGCATCATTCATCATTCTCATGTAATAAATGTAAAAATTAAGAATCTAAATACATGTAAGTTAAGCTGTATCTGGTTCAATATCTGTGTATAGATACAGTTTATCCTCCTGGTTAACAAAAAGCAGCACCAAATTTGGTGTAGAGGCCGTATTTAGTTGCAAATCAACATGTTTCAATGATTACTAGCCAATGAAAATAACTAGAAAGCACAATTAAAATTGCTGATTTAAATCAAGGCTTCCTGCTTGCTGATTTAAATCATGATAAAATTGGAGATTTAAAAGGATTTATTTAAATCAATCCACCCTGCAGGAGACCCAAGCATGTCTGAGCTGCTGCCTATACCTTGTCCTCCAGCCGGTCCATCAGGGTCTGCGAGAGGTGCCCGACCTTCACCATCAGTGCCACCACAGCTCTCGTGTCCCCAATCTCCGTCCAGCGCAGCTCCAGGTGCTTCACCATGTCGCTCAGCAGCTCATTCTGATCCTCCGCCTGCTTGCTGGCTCCCACATACTCTGCCAGGGAAACAATCTGCCTGAAGTCCAAGCGTCTCAACCGCCAGCGCACCTCCTGCTTCACTGATCTCAGCTCCCTCTTATTCCTCTCCAGCCCCAGAAGGTCGAGGCTCTTCAAGAGGGGCAACAAAGAGCCATTCCTGACCCGGGAAATCTAGGCAGCAAAGAGGAAATATGGGAATGTTGTTAGGCACAAAGGAGGCTGTAACAGAGCAAGAAGTGGAGTTAGAGACTAGAGGATTTATCAGATGGGATCAATCATCCAGCATTGGCAAATGCCAGACGCTCCAGAGGAAGGCACCCCCCAAAGAGTGGTTTTAGTGCTCCCGTGTCTACACTCCACATTCACTGCCCCTTTAACTTCAGCCACAGCCTGCAGGTTTCCCAGCAGCATGAGCAGCTGCTATGTTCAGCCCTGGTCTGGAGACAGAGCAGTGGTGCTCTAGTTTTCCCAGGGCTGAGCTTTCATTGCCTTTAGTGTCAGTCAACATCTCTCTTTTTCCTCTATGTTCAGACCAAACTCCCCCTCCCCCTGCCTGTGTACATTCCACAACTGCCTCATGATTCCAAAGGCACAGGGCACTTGCAGCTCTTCTCCAAGGAGAAACTGATGATGAAGCGGCTGCAAGGCCATCGTTCTTATGCTTCCAGATCTTGACTATATGTGCAGGATCCAATGACCTAGGTCACGTACAGGGCAGCGTAGGGCTATCACTGCTGGGCCATGGGGTCAAATTAAGCTTTTCTCACTGGAACTGCCAATAGGCAGCTGGAAGAAAAAAAAAACGGAAGTCCAAAGTTCCACGGATGATACTCTAGATTCTAAAGCACTTTTCATGCTGAAGAATCCCCACGGGTTGTGCGGAAAACAAAGGAAATATCAGCAAATTGCAGCTACCTCTGGGGTGGAACATGACAGCTATTTAACAACAGTACAAAACAGTTTAAGGAAAGGGAAGAATCACTTCTCAGCTTGAAGCGGAATCAAGGGAAGTAGAATGTAATGACTCAGATAGAATTTGGCCAGGGTGCTCTACCAGTGCTCTGGCAAATGGTACCACAGACATTGTAATAATCAAGACTTCAGTCTTACAACTTGTCAGAAACTTGGCGTTTTTTAGTAGCACAGCAGCCTCTCAGAGCCACCCCTTGACACTGATTCAATGACTCAGGGTGATGATCACCACTGTAGAATAGTAATTCTTAGAGATCTCAGAGTGGTTTGCAAACGTTCTGTAAACAAGTATCACCCATTAGGCAGCTGAAGAAACAGATCATGACCTACCAAAGATCACACAGGTCATTGGCAAGCCAGGAACAGTATCTCAGTATTCCCACTCTCAGTCTCGTGCCCCATTCAGTCTTTCAATACAAATCACCAACACCATTTCCTGCAGCACCTTGATACCGAATTCTATTGAGAGACTTCTGTCCAACTGCTGGCCTGGTCCAATCCTGCCTGTCTTTTGATATCTCAGGGCTTGTCTACATGGGGTCTTACATCAGCTTAACTTTAGTTTGTTTGCATTAGAGTGTCTTGTGCCCACACTCAACTTTTTTTTAAATCAAGTTATTTAGTATCATAGTTGGCAGCAATTAATCTTCTTTGGAAGAGAAGTTAACTCCTCACTGCAGTAAGTTTATTTGCTTTAAGGTTCGTGTGGACAAATTCTTAACTATTCCGCTTCAGGCAATCCTCCCACTGCCGTCCCACAGTGCACTGCTTCACACCTGGATCAGCCTGCCTGTGGATCTGTCTGTGTGGCTTCCATTGCTCCATGGTTATCTCGACCAGATCCTTATTTAAATGCTGGCACACAGCTAGGTGTGGCACTTATTGATACCAGTAGTGGGTAGCACAGAGCTGTGTGGCATAACAAAGTAGTGTGAATGCCACTCAGTTAATTTACATAAGACCGGCCATACTAGGTCAGACCAAAGGTTCATCTAACCCAGTATCCTGTCTTCCGACAGTGGCCAATGCCAGGTGCCCCAGAAAAAATGAACAGAACAGGTGATCCATCAAGTGATCCATCCCCTGTCGTCCATTCTGAGCTTCTGGCAAACAGAGGCTAGGGACACCATCCCTGCCCATCCTCGCTGATAGCCATTAATGGACCTATCCTCCATGAACTTATCTAGTTCTTTTTTTAACCCTGTTATAGTCTTGGCCTTCACAACAAGGAGTTCCACAGGTTGACTGTGCGTTGTGTGAAAAAATACTTTCTTTTGTTTTAAACCTGCTGCCTATTAATTTGATTTGGTGACCCCGAGTTCTTGTGTTACGAGAGTAAATAACACTTCCATATTTAACAACAAGGAGTCTGGGGGCACCTTAAAGACTAACAGATTTATTTGGGCATAAGCTTTCGTGAGTAAAAACCTCACTTCTTCTATGCATCCGAAGAAGTGAGGTTTTTACTCACGAAAGCTTATGCCCAAATAAATCTGTTAGTCTTTAAGGTGCCACCAGACTCCTTGTTGTTTTTGTAGATACAGACTAACACGGCTACCCCCTGATACTTGACTTCCATATTTACTTTCTCCACACCAGTCATGATTTTATAGACCTCTATCATATCCCCCTGTAGTCGTCTCTTTTCCAAGCTGAAAAGTCCCAGTCTCATTAATCTCTCCTCATATGGCAGCAATTCCATATCCCTAATCATTTTTGTTGCCCCTTTCTGAACCTTTTCCAATTTCAATATATCTTTTTTCAGATGGGGCGACCACATCTGCATGCAGTATACAGGATGTGGGTGTACCATGGATTTATAAAGAGGCAATATGATATTTTCTGTCTTATTATCTATCCCTTTCTTAATGATTCCCAACATTCTCCTCACTTTTTTGACTGCCGCTGCACATTGAGTGGATGTTTCCAGAGAACTATCCACAATGACTCCAAGATCTCTTTCTTGAGTGGTAACACCTAATTTAGACCCCATCATTTTATATGTATAGTTGGGATTATGTTTTCCAATGTGCATTACTTTGCATTTATCAACATTGAATTTCATCTGCCATTTTGTTGCCCAGTCACCCAGTTTTGTGTGATCCTTTTGTAGCTCTTCGCAGTCTGCTTGGGACTTAACTATCTTGAGTAGTTTTGTATCGTCTGCAAATTTTGCCACCCCACTGTTTACCCTTCTCCAGATCTAAGTGCACCAATTTGGTACACGTAGAGTAAACAAACTAATCCAAGTTAACATTCCCATATAGGCATGCTCTTAGGGTGAGATGCTGCAGTATTTCTACTGATCTATACCAGGTGTCTGTAGCATTCTTTTATCCCCAGGGTCCAGTAACAGAGAAATGGGGCCCATGAACTACAGATGTTGCTGTGGCAGCCAGCTGGGCCAGTACTGACCACAGACAAGGACAGTACTGAATTTGACAAGGCTGCTGTAGTTTAAGAATAGGTAGTGGAGAACATAATGTAACGCAGGGGTAGGCAACCTTTCAGAAGTGGTGTGCCGAGTCTTCATTTATTCACTTTAATTAAAGGTTTCGCGTGCCGGTAATACATGTTACCGTTTTTTAGAAGGTCTCTCTCTAAGTCTGGGGGGGGTGTGGAGGTGCAGGGCAGAAGGCTGGGTGTTGGGGGG